CGGACGCGCAGAGCAGACTCACAATGAGCGGGATGGTGCGGTCTTCGCGGAGCTGCTCCGGCCTCCCACCAGCCTTCTGAGCGCCCCGGCCTCCCGAGGATGCTGCGTGGGCTCGGTTGTCCTGCCATAAGTAGTAAAAAGTGCCCAGGATCCAGGCTACGGTCAGGATGGCGATGGCATTGGCGCGGATCTTCCTCATGGTGGGCGGGCGGGCGCCCCAAGTGGGGGCCCGGGCCGGCGAGCTCTCGGGGCCGGGGCGGGGGCTCTCGCAGCCCCAGCTGTTTGTTTTCGCTCGCGCCCGGCAGCTCAGTCCTGCAGAGCAGAAAAAGGAGAGAGGTGGGGGGTGGGGGGGGTGTGATGGGGAGAGACGAGCGCGCGGAGCGATCCTCACGGTCCTAATGCCCTTCAGCCCCGCGCGCGCGCGTCCCCGGGGCGCCCATTCATTCGCGCGCAGATCCCGCCCCGCGCTCCAGCCCCCGCCGGCGGTCCCGGCCGCTGCGCTCGGGTAGAAGAACGCGACGGGTGCGAAGCGGCGCTGGAGGAAGGCCCGGTGAGGCAGACGCCTGCGGCGGAATGGCGACGGGCCAGAGCCAGTCTCGGCTCCCACCGCTCGGTGACGGAGCGCCGGGCAGCTGCCCCCGCGCAGTCCTGGTGGATCCCGCCTACTTCCACCCACCCCCGGACCGAGCAGCCCTGAGTCACTGGCTGGAGATGCGCGACCCCGACCTGGGCCCGCGCCGTGGAGCTGCGGATCTGGGCTTGAACTGTACTCTGGCGCAGGGTTTAAGGTGTGTTCCGCTAGTCCTTGGGAAGGGGTGGCTGTGCGAGAGGAGAGTCTCGAGTTTGCACTGAAATCTTCTGCAGCCTAGCATTGCTACCCGCCCGAGGGTCCTCCCGGAAGAGGGATTGGAAGCTGGTGCACTTGACATTCCAAGAGAGCGAAGGGGAAGCGACGCTGCTTCACAGCCAGCAGAAGGAGAATGGGAGTACAACCACCCCACAACTTCTGGGGCTCCCAGCTTTCATAATGTGTCCCTCCACCCCTCACCCCCACCCCGACTGTCTCCTGGACAACCCTGAGGTATCATCATCACCGTTCCATCGAGAAGAAAGGAAGCCAGAAAGGCTGGAAGATTCTCCCAAGGCCACGCACCTAATTAGTGGGCAGAGCCCAGTGTAGAAGCCGTCTCTCCATCTGACACTTTCAACAAAGTTCAAAACAGTGGTGAGAGACACAGACACAGAAATCATTGAGATTCTTCCCCAGTCCTGGTGGCATTGGGAATCCCGTGTGAACTGCTCTCACTCTGGCAGAAGGCAAGGTGGGCTACATTAGTTCTAAGAGGCCAGCACAGGCTGGGCACAGAGCAGACACTAAATGACTAGATGTTAAATAAATCAGGCAGGGATTACAGAGGAGGAAATGATGTATTGCAAGGTGGTCCGAGGGAAGGCTTCTCAAAGAAGGTAGATAAATCCTTTGAATAAATTCTTAAGAGGCAGGGTATTGGGGCGCGTATCAACTGCATAGAAGCGAAGGTTCTGAGGATAGAAGTACTTGATATGTCCAAGGAAGAGAGCTGCCTGGCATTGCTGGGGTCCAGGACGCTGGGAATGATTTGGTGGAAGTTGAGGTTGGCCAGGCTGGGAGAGTGTGGACTCAGGAGGAATGCCAGGGGCAGAGTTGGCAAGGAATTTGCTTCCTGCTGGTGCTGCTGGCCTCGGACTCAACATAAGGGACAGAAAGAGTCTTGACCTCTAAATGAAACTGCCTCAGGAATCGGGTAAATGGTGAGGTCACAGCTCATGCCTTACTCTAGCCACCCCCATCAGCACCACTCATTTCCCTGTGTTTCTCCGGCACTCAGGACTTAGCCACGCACATAATAGATGCAGGAATCATGGGGCAGACCCAGTGGTCATGTCCTCCGTAGGAAGCCAGGGAAACCTTGCTCCTTAGAAATCAGACCCCACAAGTATCTCCAGACAACAGGAAAGTGTAAGAGAACTGCCCTCCTGGTGTCCCCACTTCCACACAGGCTCCCATTTCCCAGGACTTGGGGAATGGTCCTCTGTTGCCATAGGCTGCACTCCTCATCCCAGCCTGGTCTATGCATGTTTAGTTTTTGGCCTTGAGAGTACCAAGTGGGATCCAAACTTATCACACCAACCCTTAGTGAGAGGCTCCAAACTCAGCCCTAGACATAGGGGATAAAGCGGGACTATGCCAAACCAAAATCAGGCTGGTGGGGTTTCTGATGGCTCCAGAAGGGGAGCTCTACGAGAAGAGAGGGGGAAGGAGGTGCTAGAATTTGGCAGAGTTTCTCCCAAGTCTCACCCCTTGGCTCAATGGTGAGTATGTTGCACATCTGTGCCAAATAGTCACTCCCTGGTAACTTTCCCAAAGAGAAGCTTTCCCCACTCCACCAACCCCCACCAGAAAAGCCCTAGGAACCTAACCTCTCTGGATGACTTTAGACTTCACAGCCAGCCCTTCCTTAGATGAACACAATAAACTTCTCTGGGGGTGTGTTAGGGGGTGGATAATCACCATGTTTATTTGACCAACAGAAATTTAACAGAGACAGAGGTTAAATGAGGGGGCCTCAAGCCACAGGTACACTGGAAGGGCTGGGAACCACCTCGGCTACAGCCTATGTTCTTTCTTCCAGAGTCTAACCCAAATAGGCACAGAGCTGGGCCTCTGCCTCCTTGAGATAGAGTTCAGTGTTCAGAGATGACAGTGAGCAGTTTCTTCCCTGATCCTAGGAATGGATTCCAACAGAACCATAGAATGAAAGCGACACCTGAGAAACAGTGTTGCCTAACATTCATTGAACTTCGGAAACAACAAGCGTGATAATAATAGCTACAGCTCACTGAGTACATAGCAGGTGCCAGCTGCTGAGCCGGCATCTCGCACACATTATCTCTAACACACCCACTACCTGCAGGCGAGGACTTTGAGGCTGAGTGAGGCTCTTGATTGCTGAGTCCTAGACCAGGTGAGTTGTGGGGCTGGGATTCAGCCTATTTTCTATTCCAGTGTCTGGACACCAGTGCAGGGCTTCTGAGGCTACTGCGCAGTCTGCCAGGTGGTCACAAATTCTGTATGCAAGGACCTCACTTCTCCTCCGGGCCTCTGTTTTCCGTAAAAGGAGGGAGGCAGAGAGATGACCTCTGAGGTCCCTTCAGTTGTGCGGTTTTAGATTTCCTGTTCCTTGGGCATGGTCCCTTTCTCTCGGGCATGGTCCCTTTCTCTCGGGCATGGTCCGGGCATGGTCCCCTTCTCTTGCTACTGCTGAAGCCAGCACTCAGGTAAGCTGAGCAAAATGCTGTGTGACCTTGGCACTCCCAGAGGCCCCAGGGAACTCTCTGCCCCTGCATTTGATGTGAGGATTTGGGGGTTGGGGGGGGGCGGTGGATAACAGAGGGAAGAAAGGGTATAGCTCTGTGTAAGACTCTAGCTCTGGAGTTAGACAACCTGAATACAAATGCTGATTCTGTCACATATTAAGAGAGTAACTTGGGCAAATTCCTAACCACTCTTAGCCTCAGTTTCCTGGACTCTGAAATGGGACATGAAAACCCTTAACTTGCAGCATTGTTGGGAAAGGTAGGATGAAATAAAGCGTGCAAAATCCAGTGCCTGGTCACCAGCCCAGTCCCACTCTCAAGTGCAGCTGCTGGCTGCTGGGGTGAGGAGGACTTGTGAAGGGCCTGCCCAGGGCACACACACAGGATTGCTCACCAGTGCTAAGAAAGAGTACAGACCCCAGTCAGGCCTCTTCAGCTACACCTAAGGTCCCAAAAGGATAACTCCCTGCCCTAAAGGTGGGTGGCTGCCTATTCCAGAGTTTCTGCTGTGTGGACTGGAGGTAGGGCCCCAGCCCCTGCTGGTGTCTATCCTTGACAGCATACCCATTGCCTTTCAGACCATTGGCTTCTCCTCTCACCCTGTCCGGAGCAGCAGGGCCTTGGAAAGGTGGGTGCGGGGAATGGATTAGACTCCCATGTCTGCTCTAAGCAGGGAAGGAAGCAGGGATGGCGAACAGAGCATATGTTACCTTGCAACAGGCACTGTGCCGATACACAACCTCAGTTCAGAATGCTCCCCACAACACTTCGAGGAAAGTATGACCATCTCCACTTCACAGATGAAGAGACTAATGCCTGCAGAGGTCAGGCAGCCATCAAGTGGTGCATCTGCCACTCATTACCAGGTGACTGCACTTTAATATACCATTGTACCTAAGGAAAAGTTACTTATAAGTTTAGTTTCTATAAACCATGATAGATAGAGAAGACCTAACTCTTTGAAAGGAGCTCAAAGTTATTAGTTATGATTCTCCTATTTGTCTGGTAACCATGGCTTTTTATATCAGCTTCTGCCACTGCAGTGTAAGCTTCATGGGGGTAGGGGTCCTGGTATGTTTTGTTCACCACTGTCTCCCCAGTGCTTAGAACAATGCTTGAGATATAGTGGCACATAGCTCATTAAGCATTTGCTGTTGGAAGGAAGGGAGAGAAAAAGGGAGACAGAGGTAAGAGAAAGGGTAGAGGAGCTCTGAGCAACATGCACTTCTCTCTTAAGTCAAGCACTTGAGAGTTAGGTGCAGGACTAGAGCCCAGAGAAAGGGAGGGACACATTTAGGGTCAGTGTGAGCCAGTTTAATGAGTGACCCAGGTCCCCTAACAATGCTTCCTCAGAAGCAGCTGGCTCCCTCCTCCAACCATGGGCCAGGGGCCAAACCCTGTTGCCCCAGGATGAGGGGGTGAGAAAGTCCTTCGTGGTCTTATCAGAAGTCAGGGGGAGGAATGACCTTGATTTGGTGGATAACTGCAGGAACTACAAATGTTATCACTGATCATGAAATAACCCAGCTGTTGCTTTTGGGAATAACAGGATTGTAGAGTTCCAGGGCTAATTAAAAATGTGTCAGATGCTTTTTCTTAACAGGAAGGAATTCCTACAAAGAAAAGATGCATAAATAAAGCCAGCTGGTCAGCAGAATTGGTCCTGGAGGCAGAGCCTTGTCCAAGGCCTCCCTGACCTCCCCATCTCCACTACCTTCTTGGTCCCTTCCTCTCCTCCATAGCCTCTGCAGAGCTGAGTAGCAGAATTCCTCAGAGCAGACCAGATGGCCCAAAATGCTAGGCCAGTGCCTGTCACATGCCTGTCTCTCACTCTTGAATAGGAGATCCTCTGAGCAGGGCCCGGCAGCCTTCTTTTGTGTATCAGCAGTTTTGAGCATAGTTTTTGTGCAATGAGTAAATAAGTGAATAAATATTTAGGGTGGTGGGCTGCTGTTACTCCCCATTTTGTCTCATGAAAATGCCACATAGCCCATTCAGATGGTAAAGCCAATGCTGCTTGCCCATTGGGGTAGCGTTTCCAGTCTCTTTCTTTTCCTTCTTGAATGCCTACCATGCCAGGCACCTCCAGGTTCCAGGGACATGAAAACGAACAAAATTTTGATCCCAAGAGCCCAGTAATCGATAATGGGGAAATACACATAAATAGTCACAAGATCATATAATGGAGTGCCATAGAAGCCCACAGGGGGCTTCTTCACAAGGAAGAAGTCATCTGAGAGCTGAGTCTTAAAGGATAAGCAGATAGGCAAGATGCGGAAGAAGATTCTAGGAAGTGGAAGAGACCAACAAAGGA